AATTGTAATTGTAATTGTAATTGTAATTGTAATTGTAATTGTAATTGTAATTGTAATTGTAATTGTAATTGTAATTGTAATTGTAATTGTAATTGTTTTTTCGAGGTTGCTTCAGCGGCTAGCAGGTCGCTTTGGTAGCAATAGCTTTACAACCTCCCTCATTAAATCCCTCATAAACTAATTTAAATTCAAGCAAATAAAAACAGAGTTTATAAAGAACTCGTACCACAGAGAAAAATGTAAGGAAGCTGTATCCCAAATTGTAATTCTGTTTAATGTCATTTGTGGCTTTTATTGGCAAAATTTTTGTATTAAAAAAAATAATTATAAAGAAACATATAGAAGATCATCAGTATCATTAAATAGACATAAAAATGTCAAATGTCAAAAAATAAATGTCAAAATTTTTTGACAGAGAATTTTTAAACATTTTTTTCACGTTCCTGATATCTTACTTTACTTCAAATTTTTCTCTGGGGCGCGAGTTCTGACACACCCTGTATAGAATAATTCTTAACTTATAGGCATAAACTTACGAAATAATATTTCTTGCCCAATAGTAACGAATAGTGAAAAAAGTTGTAGTAAAATTCTTTAGTTGAGATATTGCGTTATAAAAACACCACTCAACTTTTAAATTATAAATAGTACCTTAATTTTAAACTCGATAATGAGGATAAAAAAAAGTTACAAGTAAACAATAATGAGTAAAATGCAAAATAAGTTAAGTAAAACCTTCCTTTTTAGAAAAAAATTGGAAAAAAAACTCGAAAAGTTTAAGGATTTTTTTTAAAGTACTCATTTAATATTTTGCAAATTCGTCTCTGGAAAGAAAAGACTTATTTTTTACTTTATTCATTATTGATGTGTTCTTGACATACTATACAGCTTTGATTCCTACATAAAACATAGCTTTAGTTGTTATTATTTTAGTTAAATATTTTATTATTATTAGACAGTATTGTTAAAAATTGTAATAGTTTTGTGCATTTTTTGTTGTCTTGGTATCCTGGTTCGATATCTCGTCTTGTATTTCATCTGTGACCCATTTCGTCGCACACACACGCCGCACCGCCATAAAGCAAAATCCGTCGATGCGAAAATATTGAAATAAATTTATTTCGTTCAGTACATAGGGTCGTCGTGGAATAAGTTGTTTAAAAAGATGTTTATTGGATTCCGACTATTCGGTTGAATGCAACATTACGATCGAACTGGGACTACATCATAGGGTGCGATATTCTGGTTCGATAACGGCGCAGTTTGAGATAGCGACTCAAAGCGAATTGTCGTTATTTCGTCGGGATTAAGGAACGATTGAGCGTATCTACCGAGTCGCTCAAAAGACTGAAAATTCAAAGGAGAAACTCCACCAGATAGAAGCTTTATGAAGCGGCTTTAAAAATACCACTCAGATGCTTTTCCGCAAATATGAATTATCTCGAGTCGGTTTTATTGTCTTCCATCTGGGCGACAAAAGCGACGCCCAGAACTATAAACATACAAACGCCAAGAAAGAAAACTTTATCGGACCAAATCCACATAAAATTAACCCTCGACATGACAGATTTATTTTTATATCAGCAATTGAATTTTATTAGCTTTTTAAACGAGATCGATCACATTGGAAACCTTTTACTCGAATCCTAATGTTTCACAATAGGAATCGAATCGGAGAAACAGATATGATTCGTATGCGTGGACGAAGTTCAATTCAAAGAATCAAGAAATTATTACATTTAAATAAACAATTCCGAGATAATTGCTTGCTTTTATTTGAATTTTTTTTATTAAAGCTAAGCGCGTAATTGAAAAATGGTGGAGGCGCCGGGTCTGCAAATAAATAATTTTTATTCCGAGAGAAAGAAAATAAAACTTACAACTTACGTTAGTATTTTGACTCATTAACTGTACATTAAAGAATTTATAATATATAAACTATATTTGCATTAAATTAATTAGTATTTTCGCGTCCTAACAATAACAATAATGTGCTTTGGAAAATAATATTGACATACAATTAATTCTGGAAACATGTTATTTTAAACAAAAAAACACAAAAACATAAAAATACTGCTGTTTATGTAGTACGTGTGAATAGGAGTAATACACGTAATAAAAATTACTAATTTATATTGACAAGTTTACTCAATAAAAATTTGTTATTCACTGATAACACACTGAGGTGAAAGTAAGATAATAACAATAAACATTGTAATAAATATAAATTATACATAWAATTTTTTTAGCTTCTCATAAAAATTAGTCTTAAAAAAATTACAACAATTAATCAACGATTTTTATTTTCATCAAAAAGATGTTTCTTCGAACTTTGTTAAAATCAGAAAAAATATAAAAAACAACTAATTCTAAAAAACAAATCTCAAAAAAAGATACATTCTAAACCTCGTTATCAGGTTCAGAATCTTTTCTAAAAAAAAATTCATTAAAAAAACAACTAAATATTTTCACTTTGCAACAAAATTTATATTTAAAAATACTGTCGTATACTTTTTTGTATACGCTCCCGAAAACAGCTGTTTTAGGGACTCACTTGAGTCCCTAAAATGAGTCTTTCAATAAAATAGTGCGCAAAACGGTTACTTTAGGTATTCAGTCCCCAAAAACAGTTTTTGCGGACTAAAAAATAAAATTGGTTACTATGGTAACGAAATTTTTTTAATTAGTAAGAGGTGTGAATTCGAGTTTTGGGAGCTTTAACAAAAAAATCTTGTATGCACCACATACGCAAAAGATTTTAGGTGACTCCTTTCATTAAAGACTCGGCTCCTACGTCGCCTCGTCATTAATTACGATTCGTCCCCTAAAACCCTATTTTGCGTACTTGATACATAAATGGCTATTTCTTCTGAAAAACTAGTTATAAGTTAATATCGATCCATTTTTTTAGGCTAATAAATATTCGTGGTTTCATTAACATGCATTAAAAACAAAAATTGAAGCTGATGTAAAATAAAATTTTTTGCTAACTAAAAAAGATTACCTAAACGTTGCTTTTGTAGTTAAATTCGTATAGTAGGTAAAGATAATTTTTGCAAAAAACTGATTAAACTTCAAACAGTGACTTAAAACTGGTTGTTTCAGTAAACAGTATTGAAAATAAATTTGAAGAAAATAACAATGTCTGACTACATCCCACGTTTTATTTTTCGAAAGATATTAAAAATCTAAAAAGTAACAATCTTAAAAAAGCGAAACGAATCCGATATTTATCCGCCTAGAAATAGGAGTTATTATTTATTGCGGGATAAAAAATCATTAAAAGCAATTTGAAAAAAAAAAACAATTTCTATTCGTATGGCTTTAAAAAATCCAATCCTTGTTGGCATTTCCGTAAAATCATCCCAGCCCGAAACCAACATTGTGTAATACCGCAGATAATGACTGTGGTTTGATTCGCTGATCAATAATTATGTTCCGACACGTAGGATGTACCTACAATTTTCGTTTCCTAATCAACGAGAGAAAATTTCATTGCCACTCGGTTACAAAACCACCTTCGCCTTATTAATTACAAATTATTACGAAATTTCTCCACTCACCTGAACGACTTCACCACTTGGTTCATCCTCAGATCTAGTAGTTTTAGTGTGTCGTCTCTCACGCAGCAGATCAGATACTTAGCATCTGCGAAAAGGAAAAAGAAAAGAAAAAATAACATTTAGGGCGTGTCTGGGCGTAAAGAAGTTACGATTTATTTAATTAGGTGACGAAATTTGCATAATTAGTTTACATTAGTGAGTTTTCCGAGGCGCACAATGAACGCGACTCAACACTCGACTTTTACGGCATTAGGACCGAATTTACAATTACAATTAGAGAAGCGCGAGGCACCTGCGAAAGAACACTTACCTCGAGTTAAATCTAAAGATGTCACTTTGCCGTTGAACAGAAAGTTATTGGCACTGGATTCCGAACGAGCGTCCCAGAAACGTATGCTTTTATCGAAGTGGCCGCTGATTATTGTTGAACCGGAACTGTCAACGATCACCAAGTCGTTGCAGCTGGAACCGGCGAACTTAGTCTCTATACCTGCAATAATCAAAAACATGTTGTAATAAAAAATCACCCGAATCGCATAGAATTTTTTTAGCACCGCTGGTTACTGAAGTTAAGTTAAATCAAAATAAAAATAAAAAAGTGCTGTAAAAATATTTTCAAAAGATTGGTGCCGCCTGAAAACCTATTTTCCATTATCATAACCAATCACTTTTCGAAACTGCTTGATTTTCTATTAAATAAATATAAATAAAAAATAATAACAGATAGACAAAAATAATACAAAATAAAAATACTTTTAAGGGTTGATCTGTACTCAGTACTTTTTTTAATAACAATTATTTCCCAAATATACAGGGTGTTTCGACTAAACTCCACAAGTATATAGAGTTTTAACAATAATTCAGGGTGTCAGAACTTGCGCCCCAGAGAAAAATTTCAAAAATGTTTTACAAAATCTATGTCCAAATATTTTGACATTTGACTTTTTTTATGGTTATTTAATGATACATATGATATACAGGCTGTTCGGTCCAAGTTGCCCCGGCTGATAACACCTAAACTTACTTTTTTTTTCAAAAACTAAATTTTCAAATAATACTATTCATTCCTGGCTTTCTTAGAAAATGCATCAATTTTTTTTAGCATATCCGGTGTAGCCGAAAATGATACCAAATTTAGTTTTTCAAATGGAACACCTATGTTTTTTTTGCTCAAAACAATAATAATTGGCATGAAACCACTATTTATTACATTGTACTTTACATAATGCACTCAGAAAACAATTTAAATTTTTGAATTTTATTGCAAATTTTGCAACGTAGGCGGATTTTACTTGTCAAGGTATTCATGCAAAAAGCAATATGCTTAGATACCGTTTAATTGTTAGTTTGACAAAGCCTAATTTGTCAATAAATCTTATTAAGATCTTTAATAATGGATGATATTAATTACGATGAATTGATGGATCAGCTTGAAGTGCATTAAAAATAGAGCAGAAGCTGCAAGACAGTATAGAGAAAAATACCCAAATAGAGTTCACACAAATCGTTGGAAATTTAGTCGAATTGAAAAACAACTGAGACTAATAGGTTCGCTTCTTAAAACTAAAAAACCTGTGGTTCTTAGTGAAGAATAAGAAAATAAAAATCTGAATGTTCTGTTATCAGTCGAAGAAAATCCAAGAGTTTCCATAAGAGAACTCGCTCATCATAACTGACAAATTAGATTTGTCAAACCAACAATTAAACAGTATCCAAGCATTTTTTTATTCACAACTTTCTTTTAAAATTAAAAATCAGACTACGCGACTAATTTCCTTATAAAATTCTAAGATTTAAGATGTTTTCTGATTGCATTGTGTTACGCAAAATGTAATAAATAGTGGTTTACCGTATCTTTCATGTCAATTATTATTGTTTCGAGGAAAAAAAATAGGTGTTCCATTTGAAAAACTAAATTTGGTAGCATTTCCGGCAACACCGGATATGCTAAAAAAATTTGATACATTTACTAACAAACACAATAATGAATATTATTACTTAAATATTTACTTTTTGAAAAAAAGAAGTAAGTTTAGGTGTTATCAGCCGGGGCGACTTGGACCGAACACTCTGTATATGATGATCTTGTATATGTTCTTTTATATTTAGTAAAAATACAAAAATTTTGTCAATAAAAGCCATAAATAACATAAAACAGAGTTGTAATTTAGATACAGTTTCCTTATTTTCTCTTCTAATTGCCTGTAGCAAAAAAACTTGAAAAAATATTTTTCCAAAAGAAATAAATAGAGTCAAATTGCAAAATTTAAACATTCATACCTTCGAAATTGTTATAGGTAGAATTTTTGCTGGGGCGCGAGTTCTGGTGTATTTATGTAAAATTTTCTAATGAATTTTTTATTAGCTATTTATTTTCCTCACCTGAGGATGACCACTTTGTGGTTGAAACGCGTTGTGTTTTTAAATAAAAGTTTGGTGTGACGGGCTAATCTTGTTTTTAAAGTTCATCGTTTCCATACCAAGAAGATCCAAGAAGAAGGATTAGCTATACTGTTTTTTAATAATTGTATTTTTTATTATTTTTTGACATTACAACTTTAGCAAAAGTTAGAAAAAAAGTTACAACAAACTAGTAAAAAACTCAACTCATGTTGTATATTGCTTCTTGCTTTGAACTCAGACGAAGAATTGAGCCTTTAAAGAATCTAAAGATTCTTTTACACAATCACATGTTCATTAAATGTGTTTGATAAACAATAAAATAATCGCAGAATGATTGGCAACTCGCCAACAATAAATATAAAACAAGACATCTGCCGAAGAGAATTAATGACAAGTAATCGAAAAGTTAATAAGCGTAAAAATAATCGCTGACCGAATCTCCGTAAGAGCCAGCAAATGTCAAATAGGGAATGTCATTATTATAACGGAATCGCATAAAATATTGTTGAATATCCAACTAATTACGAAGCATATAATTTATGTAAGTAAGCAAATAGTCGCTCGTTAGTACAAAATATTATTTGTTGTCATGATTTTTTTGTTTATACCGAGAACGAGGTATTTGAAAGATGGGAGAAAAAAGCGGCGTTAACATCTCTATCAGATCTATTAGCGGGCCATAATTACGATCTTTTTTGTTGATGCAATCAGTTTTTTCTCACATAACGCAGACACATGTGATACCAAGCGAATTCAACCGACACCAAATCAGGTCAGTTTTAGGATTTTTCAAATTAATTCGTGTCAACGACATTCCAGTGTTAAAACTAATTAGCAAAGGTCTGACCTATGCTGTGCCCAATATTCAATGCCATAATAGGTAAAATACAGTGGATTTATTTAAAGGAAACAAGGTATTTAATTTAAAAAAAAATATTAATTTTAGTTTCCTCGAGCGGCGAGGACTGTCATTATCGATTTGTACACTCGCATTCCCCGCTGCTGATTACGAGTCATTATCGTTGATGACCACCAATGTCACTTCTTCCCATGGGCTCGCATTTAACATCCCAAACGACATTATAAATCTTTCCACGACCACAAAATCATACGAATTAACTTTAATTATAAACTAGTCGATGAAAAAAAGTGTCAAACCTTTACGAAACTCGAAATTTCCTCATGTAGCAATCACTTAGTGAGAAAGTCAAAATTATATGTTGCTTTAAAGACAGAATCACGAGACTCTCATTTATCGACCGACGTGTTCATTTACAGCTCTGCTCGATTGATTCAGAAAGCAGTAGTTTCTTTGTATCTCAACATGAAAAATTCTCCTCTTTATGGTCACTTGTCTAAAATTTCAAATATTGCATTTTTACGCCTCATTAACGAGCGGTTTCAATTCTAAAAAAGCCGTTAACAATTTATGCGCTCCTTGGAAGAGATTAAACGTTGAAAAGATGTCAGGGGTAACTGTGAGGGTGAGAATAAGGAAGAGCGAATCGATGAATGTTCGTTCACAAATTTTCTTGTCAACGACGCGTCACTAACTTCCCAAAATTGATTTTAAATTAAATTATGAGACGACATTTTTCAACACTTATCTGTACTTTGCATACTTTTGTATGGCCAAGTCGAAGTAGGCGGCGGATTAATGGCTCGAACCACGACGAGTTTAGAATTTGCTTTATAGCCGATAATAATAATAATCAACTTCATAATCATAAATTAGCAAACTCAAAGAAAGGCTCTCTCCGATCACTGGAGAGAGAGTAGATACAAATCGTAAATCAGAATTGCAGAAATTCTTGCCCATATTGTATACAATTAGAAAAGCCTCCTGTGTCCTGAACAACCAATAAAGCTTTATTACGATAAAGGAAGTGGTTTAGTGATAAAACTAAAATTGTTTTTGTAAAATAAGAAAAATGCAAATTTTTTGAAGAATGCTAGTTGAGAGGAGTTGATGCACTCGAGGCCCCTTTTTTGCCGTCGGTGCAATTCTTAGTTCTCCTTAGAAAAAATAATTAGTCCGCCGTTTAGTGATAAGTGTGTACGATAAGACACGCGACCACTTCGACTTAAACACGAACAAGTCTATACTTACAGGCTCTGCTTCTGAGATCCCATATCTTAAGGGTACGATCGTGACTGCCAGTGACGACTTTGGACGCTTCGCCGAGAAACTTGGCCGCCATCACCTTGCCAGAATGTCCAGTCAGCGTGTGCTGCAAATAAAAACGACAAACTTCAACGATTGGATTATCTCGGTCAACCTGAGTAAAGATTGGAAATGTACAGACGAATCGCGATCGCAATACCAAAATGTCACTCGATTTTAAATAAGGCTGTCGTTCCAAGACTACAACTCGTCGTTTTGTAAATCGTCTACAACAGACTCTATTACATCATCGAATTTAGAGAGATGAACAACCCAACCACACGGTAAAATATTAATTAGAACGTGAATAAATATTTAACCTCAATGTAAATGCCAACTCCTACATCATCCTTTGACAACTCCCGCTGTCAGTAATTGATGACTCGGCTTTGATTAGACACTTGAATTAAAGCTCGAATGAAAGAGAAAAACGTTAATAGTTGAGTCGAAACCCATGCCACCACTAACAATAACTATTATATTTCGGAACGGTTCCTTCCCATAGAGTGTGTAATTTCCTGTAAATCGATTGTATGCGAGCTTAGAAAGGAAAAATCAATTGGGAACAATCACTTCTGATGGACTCCAAATTCAGGAAGGTATAAATTACTTTGGCACTTGAACGTGAGTGCTTACGTGTACACTGGGTGGAAATTAACTTTTTCCTTCTATTTTGCCACCACATCAGCTTTTTTCCTTCTCAATGCATTCATAAACAATTGATCTTAAAGCAAATTGAAACAGATATTGAACCAATTTGTTCGTCCGAAAAATTCGGCTATGCCTCTTCAAAAAATCGATATATTGTCTAATATTAGTAATAGTAATAGTGTGAAGTGAAACTTTTAATAAAACTTCTGAAGTGTATATACTTTATATCATATCTCTTCATAAAAATTGCCTTTTTGAAAATAAATTCCACAATTTCCTAAATTGGTTAAAAATAGTTATAAACTTATAGAAAAAAAGTTATAAAAAAATAGTCGGAGTGCTTTCAAAGTTTTAAGGCATTAAAAAATCAGTTAACCTCCAGTGTAGATGTTCAATTTTCTAATAGTTTGTAAAGCAATAAGTTTAGAAAAAACATATTTTTTGGTGTACTTAATAGAAATTGATAACATTGTTTAACGCAAAATAATTAAGAAAAGTGGGACTTTTCTTGTTAGCAACACTTTTCTTGTTAGCAACATCTTTTTTTATTTTATCATCCACGAGGTGAAATAAAGCGTCCGATTTACACTCAAACGAGTTGAATACAACATTTTATTCTTCGAATTAGACTCAACAAGGCTTAAACTTGTTTTAAATCTGTTAAAAATAATCTGACATTTCGTATTGAGAAAGTTTCGCAATCAAAAGTATTTTGCACATTGTGAACATTTATATTTCGTTTTTAAAGCGTCAAACAGTTGGGGAAGTTTTAACAATAAAAACTGTTTTATCATTTTTAAATCAGGCACCGATCAAAATTTTCTGTTAGTGAAAGTGGTTTCAATCTTTGGTCTTAATGGTTGTGGTAGAAGAGAAAAAGACCAAAGAAAGTTAATGACGAGAAGTTTGTTACGACTATCTCAAATACACGGTGTCTCAAAAGTAAACCGCCATACGTCAACCAGTAATAGAAAATGCTATTCTGAGAAAAAAAAGCTTAAATATATTTTATTTTGTACTCAATGTTAAAGAGTGCTTTTATCAACTAATTTCAGTAGATAAAGTAGTCTTTCATCGTCTAGTGAAATAATAGTTATTTATTACACAAGACGATAAAATTGAGAGCAATTGCTCGAAAAGATAATGAAAATTTAATCGTCGTGTACAATATAAAATTTTATTCAATCCTCACGAATTTTGTAGTCAATTTTGTTGATATTTCTAAATGTCAAAGTAAAATTCAACAATGAAATCTAATGTCAAAGATCGTTAGCAACTAACAACCGCAGATATACAACGATGGATGTTGAACAAAAAAACACGATTAAACCCGTCACACCAAACTTTTATTGCAAACACAACGCGTTTCAACCACAAAGTGGTCATCCTCAGGTGAGAATACAAATTTTATATGTTTTTGAAATAAAAGTTTGGTGTGACGGGTTAACTCGTGTTTTTGTTCATCGTTTCCATACCACGAGGATCCAATAAGAAGTAACAACGGATGTATTTTTTATCATCTAGACGATAAAATTTCATTTTAACATGAAGAAAAGAGTAGATAAAATTCAATTTTAACATAGAGGATTGAATAAAGTAATTTTTATCTACTATTTATATTTTATTAACTAATTTCAGTAGATAAAGTTGTCTTTTATCGTCTTGTGAAATAAAGTAATTTTTATCTACTGTTTAAATTCAAGAAACTCGTGAAAAAAGTCCACTCGTGACTTCGTCACTCGTAAACTTAACCTTTTCACTCGTAGATAAACAATTTTTTTATCGTCATGTATAATAAATAACTATTTTTCTATCTTCATTCGTGAAACAGCTACAGCTTAGCAAAGAGTAACAATGTTGTGTTTAATTAAGTTGTCAATGAAATACGAAAAAATCATTTTTCAATTGATTTTTACTGTTTGTGAAAAGCTACAAATTTACAAACAAAATAGTCCCTTGTAAGTTAAAACTTCCAATTTTTATTTCTCGGTGCAAAATTCCATCCAGTTTGGTTATCATGATTTGTCGCTGAATAAAATTATCGGCGCAGCGTTGTTTACTTTGAAGTGTAGCAATAATAAATAATTGTCAAGTGGTACAAACAATGTAAATTGTAATTAAAATTCGCAATTTCCTGATCAACGCATATCGTCAAAAGGTCGCCGGATCAATACCAACAATAAAATAAATTAGCATATTGACAATAATTATAGAGTTCAATTGAACGAACAACGGTAATTATTATCGCTGGAAGAGTAGTGCGGTGGTGGTGTAGAATTGTTTATAGCGTAGAACATCACCATTTAGATAACTGTAGTGTAGACTTAACTGGAGTTAATTAAAATTTTGATATATTACCGGTCGAGTTTTTCCTGTATCAACGCTAGGGGCTTAAAAAATCTAGGAATTCCGATTGGTGAAAAGTGACTCAGGTATAAGTCATAAAGTTTGCTTCCATAATTTAGACCTTCTTTTATCCGTGTTTTACAAGCTAAATAATGAGTTTTATGAGACTTAACGACTGGCTTCTTGCTCTTTATAAAATCTAAAATCGGTTTATGTATGACATATTCTAATAAACGTCTACTTGGAAAATGATATTAGCTTGTTAAGGACGAGGAAAAAACCACTTCGATAGAACTGAAATCGATTAAAATAATCTCCTATCAAGCCAGAATGAAGAAAATAAAATTTTTCCTATTCTCTAGTGAAACGTTGTCGCTGGAGGGACCCAAGAGAGTTTTATTATCCGCTCCAACGGATTACCATAAAGTTTAAATAGCATTTAATTACAATTAACACAACTAGTTACAAAGCTGTTTCGATCTGCAGTTAATGAAACTACATTGCCACTAATTAGCTAGCAGGACTGTGACTAGCGCAAATTCTGACAATAACACTTCAATTATAACCCAGCTTTGATAATTTTATCAGCTAACAAGATTTATATTCGACTTGCATCTCGACAAACCAAAGGTATTTAATATTGAAACATTTTGCATTCCCATTTGTAAGTAGAGTAATAAAAAAACGTTCAGAATGTCATAAAACAAATAAAAAAACTCTTTGCGAATTCCGTCAAGTAATTAAACTCCCGACTCCAAACTCTGACAAAAATCAAATCTGCAGGAACTCCCTTAATGAGCAATAAACAATACCTAACGAGTGAAAAACTGGCCAGTAAATTGCGATAATAGGTAGCCCTCTCGAGTGGGTGGTCAAATCCTCGACCGACACCGTTATTTTATTAATAATCGCCTAATTGCGTTGATATTTTACGATAAGCTCGCATATAATGATAACCATGCGAGTGTGTTATGGGATTGGTCGTGGCCCGGGGGCAGCACGATGCCGGTGTCGAAGGTTAAGACCCGATATGAAAGCAAAACTGTATTCTATTAGTCTCAGGGGTGCACTTACCCCAAATCGCAAAGAATTAAAAAGTTTTCTTTTCTTTCGCGTATCGGAAAAAAGTTTGAGGACTTTGAAAAAGTTTGTGCATTTTCTCTTATGCACTTTATCAAATGATTCAAATGGTGATGAGCACGTAAACTGTTCATTTTGTGGGAACTGAAAACCGACACAAAACTGTAATGTGGCCGACCGCAATGTAATTTTCAGGCGTGTTGTAATGCTGGTCGGCGGTTGCGACGCACTTCCAAATTGAATTTTAATTTCTTATGCCTTTTAAAGCAAGGAGGATTTGTTGCAACACTGACGAGCGCTCGAAAAGGTGTTAGTAATAAGATGAGAAAATTAAATTGGAGAGAAACAAAAATGTTATTGAGTAATCGGGTTTAAGAAACTGAAATTCTTGAGCATTTGCACATATTTATGTTACTCAAATTCCGCAAAGATTAAATTTAAATTTGGTTAAAGAATTGTACGTTCGTCCACTTTTTTGTAAAAACAAAAGTTTTGAAAAACATCAGCAAGCGAATGCAAAATCTTCTCAGTTTCACACTATTGCAATCGATACATTTTCTGGACACTAAAATAAAAAAAAATATTCGAGTAGGTACTTTGGCGAGGAAATAGAAAAGTTTTTTTTTCAAATCATATAAAAATGAGCAAAAATCACTTATTCAAAAAAAATATTATACAAAATCTTAGCATAATAAAATTAAATACCAAATATTAAATAATAGATTCTATTTTATCATTTACATGTACAGTTTTAGTTTAAAGGAGGATGTCCAAAATATAGCAAAATTTTACCTCCGTTTTCACTATCTTCAAAATTCTTGTTGTTATTGAAATTTAAATTAGTTTATCTTTCTGCTTAATTTTTCATATGCATTTTACTTTTGTTCAAAATATATGAAAAAAAAAAGATTGTCCAACCATGTAGTTTGTGCCGATTTATGACAGTATCAACTTGTCATAAAAACGATATCAACATCAATTATTTTCGAA